CTCCGCCATCCCCGCCGCCCGGCGCCCGCCCGTCGGCTGCGCGCCACGCTCGCATATACACTCACGCGGGCACACACTCGCTCTCGTCCCCTCCCCAGATTTCTGCCAGTCTCGGGGCCCACACCCAGGCCGAGCTGCGTCCCCGCGCCGTCGCGGGCAAGCCCAGGACAGAGGTCTTCCTTCTCGCCGGTGCTGGGGCCCGAGGCCAAACTTCCTGCGCCGGGTCTCCGGCGCGCGCCCACAGAGGCACTCCTCGGCTCGCACCCCGCCGCCGCCTCGTGCTGCTCCGCGCTCGGCCCGACTGATGCGCCCGCGAGGACGGCCACGAGTAAAAAAACACTCTGCGGACACCAATTAGGGATTGTAATTGAAATTTGTTGCCTTGATCTGTCAGCACTTCCAGGCAGGAGAGCGGTGGGAAGAACTTGCTCATTAGTGTCAATAAAGCGGCGGGGGCGGAGCCAGGGGCCCGTCAGTCATCCCGGTGGCCGGCCAATCCCCGGGAGCCGACTTTGCACTGCCCGCGCCCACTTCCTTCCAAGGGCTCCAAAACCTTGGAGTAAAAAGCGCCGCCGTCTGGCTTTGCCTTGCCAGACTGGTGCGCGTTGGACAGGTCGTCCTGCCCTCAGGCCACGGCCCAGTCCAGTCCCTTAGACTTCTCATCTCTCCTCAGCAGAACCTGGAAAGAGGCAGGCAGCCTCTGGATTTAAACCGAGACAATCACCAAGTTAGAATAGCTAGGATCCCTCAAGAGATTTAGAAACCCGCCCTGCTCTTTTAGCATTTAGGTTGCTAGCACTCCGCAGAGTTTAGCGTTGAGAAGAATTTACAGAAACCAGACCTCTCATTTTTCGCGTAAACACTGCTGCGTTTTAAGCTCCCACTTTGCAGCATCATGGCACTCAGGTTCAAAGCCACCGAGTCAATTCTGACTCATGGCGGCCCTATGACAAGGTAGAACTTCCCTTTGGGGTTTCCAAAAGACAGTAAATTTTTACCAGAATAGAAAGTCTCATCCTTCTCACGATTCAAATTGCCGACCTTGTAGTTAGCTGTCCAACTTGTAACCCACTACACCACTAGGGCTTCTTAACAGTTCCACGAGGCTAGTTTATTTGTTAGTGTTTGCTCAGTAAGTTTTTCTTTGGGGACAGAATTCAAGAAATACGAAAAAATTTACATATCTGGGGGTAGAATAGTACATTGTCTTTTCAATACGTCGTTTAAGGTAGTCAGAAAAAGTGTACCCTGGATACTTTTCTTTCAAAGCATGGCAGAATTTTAACTGAAAATCCTGGGATGTGAATTCTATGTTTTTAACAGAACCCTGGAGGAGAACCAGGGTTTTTAACAGAACCCTGGCTTTCTGACTTAGGAGGTTGCTGTCCCAAAGGTCAATGGGAGAAAGACGTGACAGTATGGTTCAGTTAAGATCACAACCTTGGAAATGCTGTTCAGGTCAACTAGACCAGTGCAACAACAACAGCGTCAATAATGGCATAGATTTAGGCTTACAATCGTGGAGTTCTCTTTAAGATGTAATACCATTCAATTTCCCATTGGAAAACATGTAAACTCTTACGTAGCATAACTTATTTGCCCTGCTTTTGACAATTTGCCGCTTTTATCTCAGGCTTTTAAAGAGCCAACTTGTCTCTTCACAATCCCAACTTAAAAACAAGAACAATGCTTTTTAACAGAATGGTGCCAAATGTGTACATGCAACGTTTGTTTTATAATTCTTCCCGCTAGGCTTTTTGGTCAAGATTCCTGATGTAAATCGAGCATATCCCTTGTAGAAGAACGTTTATTATGTATATGATCCATAATGTTTGGCATAAAAAGACTGGACAAAAGAATTGTGCTTCCTCTCTTTTCCCTCTCAATTCAACCTCCGTTGCTTGTTCTATTATCTTCTGCCTTCTCCTTAAGCTTTTGGTGCAAAGCTTCCTGGAGTAGCTTTCCGGCTGCGACCTTTCCACCCGAGGCAGGCCACACGAGGGCAGGCCGCGGAGCCGCGGGCCTTGAGCACACGCACAGCACTCACACGCCGCTCAGCCAGACCCCAGGCGACTCAAGCGGAGGAGACCGCTTTTAAACACTAGACAAGGAATTGTTTTCTGTTTGTCGAAAAAAGGCTTTGCGATTACACTGGGACTCCAGTGGGTCTCTAAACTTGAGGACACCAAGGAGGTGGTAATACTGTCTCAAAAAAAATGCGCAAACTCAAGAGTTTGAGTCCACAGTGGGCATCAACTAAGCACAGAGGACCAGCTGGAGGGCTAGGGTCTCAGAGAAAAAGAGGGCGGGGGAGGTCGTCGCCAAAGGCTGCTCCCGCCAAGCTCTGCTTCTCCAAGGGCAGCATGGGCCAGTTGCTAGGATGAAGCGCCCTGCCCCAGACCCAGGTCCTCAACGACCCCAAGGAGCCACCAGGGCTCCTCTGAGACATTCCTGACGTCGCCTCCAGCTCTCTGTACTCCTGGGGCCCTGAAAACGCAACGGCGCCGCGTGGGGTTGCCGGATCCCGAGGTTTTACTAGGGCGCCGAGGGCAGGGGCAGGAGAAAACAGAGGCCGTAACGGACCAGCGTGATTTCCAGCCGCAAATCTGCGCCGACGTGGTAGACTGGTCCTTGCCCTCCCTCCCGCACGGGTTTAGGAAGAAGTGTACAGGCCCCCTTGCACTGTCCTCATCACACGTTCCCTGAGCATCTACGAGTGCAGACCGCAGAGCTCGCCGACCCTGGTACCCGTGTCTCCACTGACGAGCTGCAAAGGCGCGCCTCGCCGAGTCCGGTACACCGGGCCCTCTGCAAGAACCCAGGTGTGGTCCGGGCGCCCTAGGCGGGGGAGGGCAGCCGTCCCCTTCGGCTGAACTAGGGAGACTACGGAGATCGAGCTAAGCGAGTTCCGGCCCCGTTGGGCTCGTGTCGAACCGGGCTCGGGCTCCGGGACCAAGCAGGTCCCGCAGTCCTCAATCCCGCGGTCCAGCGGAGCGTCCATTGAAGCACACCGCTGTGTTTGCCTCCGAAGAGGGGGCATCTAAGCGCTTCCAGGCGCGGGCAGGAGGGAAGGCAGGATCCGAAGGGCAGGGCGGAGGCGCGGCCTTGAGAGCCAGGGGGAAAGGCCCACCGATCCAGGCTCTGGCCGCCGGCTGCTGAGTGATGGGCAGACAGGGAGAGAGAGGGAGCACCCGCTCAGCGGAGACGCGGGGACCCCGGGCAAGCCTGGCCAGTGAGTGCGCGCGCATGCACGCGTTTGGATGCGCTCGGGTGCGGGCGATAGCATGCACACGTGCTCCTGTGTGCGTGTGTTGGTTGCACGCGTCTGCGAGTGTGCGTGCGCGAGTGTGCGTGCACCTGATCGCGTTCAAACACGGGCGGAGGAGTAGGTATGAGGGACATGTGTGTGCCTGGCGTGACTTTTTGAAAGAAAGCGCCTAGTCTGGCGACGAGCTAGGTTCAGGAACTATTCCAGTTGAATGAAAGTGCCAGGTGCCTGACAGTGGCAGCTGGGCTCAATTTCCGAGAAAAGTCACTCCGATAAGAAAATTGCCCAACTGAGACTGGGGAGGAGGGCAAGAAGGGTCTGGGAGTTTGGTACTCACTAGGTCCGCATCCCCCTACACAGCACCAATACCAAGCAGGGGGAGAGGTCTGGAGAAAGTATATTGGTTCCTTAGCAAATGCTTTTCTTGGTGCACTTTAAATAAAATTGAATCGTTTTTTTAAAAGATTCTTCTCTCTGTCAGCTTGGCTGTCTAGTATGGAGTGTGTGTGTGTGTGTGTGTGTGTGTGTGTGTGTATCCATAAATATTTCAAAAAGTTTATAGAAAAAATCCATTATTTTACATGTCCATTCCCCTATACTTTTGAACCTCCTCGTGTATATTTTATAATATAATGCACATATGTCACTATTTTAGCTTACCTATTTACAGAAAGGAGCTCTGGTGGTGTAGTGCTTACACGTGGAGCTGCTAATTGCAAGGTCTGCAGTTCGAAACCACCAGCGGCTTGGAGGGAGAAACACAGGGCTTCCTGCTCTGGTCAACAGTCTTGGAAATCACAGAGGGCAGTTCTACACTGTGCTAAAGGGTCCTTATGAGTCCGCATGGACTCGATGGCAGTGGTTTTGGTTTGGAATATGTAAGAGATCTGTGCTTTATTTTTATTTATTTAGGAAGCCTTTTTTTTTAAGCCTAGGTGTCAAGATTTCATTCCCTAGATTCATTCTCTCTTCTCCATTTCCATAACCACCATCAGCCCATACTCACTGGAGTTTTAAAACCTTACAGTGGGTTTTGAGGACTTTAAAAGTGATGGCGGGAATCGCAAGCAGGGGCCTGTTTTACCCTCCTTGGGGTTGGTCTCTGGCCTCAGGAAGGTAAGCCCTGTCATCCAAAAGAGTCTGTTCTTGACGCCTGAAGTCAAGGCTCGTCAGGTGGTCCTTGAGTTTCCCAAACAGAAAGGAACTGGGCTTCCTTCCCACGCATAAAAAGATGTTTATTATTAGCTAAAATATTAACTGAGTGAGAAATCCAGAAATGGGTTAAGGAGTTGGGGGTGAGCAAGGGCTACATTAAAGCCCCAAGGGAGCGACGGGGAGGAGGGCTACTGATTGCCTGCATCACTTCACTTCATAACTTAATCTGGAAAGGAGTCATGTCCTCATTGGGGCCCTTGGACATCAGATGCACCTCAGGGTCACTAGCAGAGTTGCACAAGAGCGCTTGGGCTTCCTTGCTCTTCCCTTGCCCCACTTTCTTCCCACTCTTCTTCCAGCTTCTCCCTCCGATCTGAGTTAATGAAACAAATTACAATTTGTCCACCTTTACTAAGACTATGGTGGTATAATCTAGAGGCCACAGGTTTAGATGCTGAGCTCTCAGAGCCTGCATAGCCTTCAGAGCGCAATCTAGGGGCCCCGGTTGCAAACACAGCCCCTCCCCCCGCCCCACCCCTCTTCCTTGCGGATAGGGATCCGGAGCCACAGTTCAAGGTTCCTTCCGTAGGCGGACTTGCACGTTAGAACATCTCCTCCCTGCTTGCTGGGGACGGTTTACCACCCTTCCAACAACCTACCTCTCTTGATTTCACTCAGTAAAGGACGCTGCGGCTACCCAAAAATCCGTGTAGCCAGAGCTGGAGCACTGAAGGGATAGAAGCACTCTAGTTTGGTTAGGGCGGAAGGATTTTCTTTTCCAGTGATGTTTCCGTGGGCGCTTCCTGCAGGCTGCTAGCGCTGTAGGGGGGGTGCGTCCTTTCAGCTACACTCCCTCCTCTTCACCAAAGTTGGACAGCCTGGGGACCGACCACAGGAGCAGGAGGATGGGCCAGTAGGGGCGTTCTGATGGACAAATGGAGGGGTAGAAAGACAGTAACAACGCTGGTAATGTATCCAGAAGAAAACTCAGCGCGAGTTCGTGACTGGGCAAAAGAGCTTCCAGATTCATGATCAGTTTCTAGCAGTGTGCACTCTGCCTCCAGATGGTACTGCAGTTATCTTTCCTCTGTCGGTGAAACACTGCCACCTCTCTTCCTCACTCATCGACCCCACTCTTCCCACAGAAACATTCAAGACGGTCACCCTAGTCCCCTATCACTAATACCTAATGCAAATAGTAAAATGACTTGAAGAACTAATGAAATGGACATCCAGATGTAAATGAATGTCCTTAGATGGAGAGCAGGCCATTAGTAAGATCAACGTTGCAACCATTTGTTTTGGACCTAAGTCCAACTGGGAAAAATCAATGGAGAAAGTGAACAGTACTCTCTAAATAGTTAATGGGCATATTAATTGTTTGCATTATATAAACTCATATTTAAACCGATATTTAAAATATAAACTCTTGTGTTCTTTGAATTAAACATGTTATCCTCACCCCGCCCCCGCACCCAATTAGCAGGTTACTTTGAGTCTGCTAGCTTAATCAAATGAATTGAACATGAACTAACTACCTGGCCTGAATTAGGCCCCATTCAAGAATCACTAGGCTTGATGTTTCGCTTTTTATAAGAATTATTGCATCCTCTAATTGGCTATAAAGTGGGTCTTGTTCCCAAATTCCACATCTGTAGATGCCCACAGTCCTTAAACAGTGGGAAATTTTGCGCATTTATATAATCCACTGGATGTATAAATAATGAAGGATGTGGCTGGAATTTACTCATATTTTTGTACTGACATTGAGGCATTTCAGTTTCAGCTGAATGAAAAGACAGATGAATTCAAATCCAGAACTAGAATTGTACAAAAAGGAGGAAGCTACTGAAAACAAGTATTAGCAGTGGGAATGAACCCTGCATTTAAACACACAGGCCATAAATAAATAAATAAATAAATAAATAAAAACAAGCAAGCCATGACTTTTAGCTTTTGTTTTCCATTTTAATTGTGAATGTTCTCAATTTTATTTTATTTTATTTTATTTTTTGAACGTTCTCAATTTTAATGTGAACATTAACAAGACAGATAAAAATTTAATCGCTCAGCAATTTATCTCCTTTTTAATATGAAAATATTTAAGCACTGTCCCAAATAAAATAATCGTACTAGGATTTATTTCCAACCCAGATTTTCAGAAACAGCCAAAGGAGAATCTTCAAGCAAAAGGCTAAAGAACAGTAGTAGCTAGAGGAACACTATTAAAACCTTAAGAGATAAATTACAGGGAACTTTTGTAAATATTTCTTGCAAGGAATTCTTACCATCTATAATACTGCAGTCCCAAATTACTACATTTCAGAATCCAGTCACATAAAGAAAGGCTGAAGGGAGTGGGGGGAGCTATCTCACACTGTACTAAAAGTTGTTGTAAATATAGAATAACTAGCATTTCTAGAAAGACTTGGGTTTTTTTGGTGAACTTTTAGTCTTTGTTGTGGGTTCCTTCTCAAATTACATAAAGTGTACTGTAAGAAGCACTCACTACCTGCTACAGATGTCCAGGAAAACTGAATTATGGAAGTCGGAAACACATGGCAGTTGCCTATTGCACAAGGAAGGTACATATGAAAGTTATAAATTTCTTGCTTGAAGTCAGCATTGTAAACGCATTTTATAGGGTTCACAGTATGTATTACATCTGTAGGTTCAATTTTTGAAATACACCTTTGGTTATTATTATTAGTTTCGATATTTGTGGCTTGGGATACTAAGAGGAAGAACTTATCTTGATGTGTTAGAAATAAACAAACAAATCACAATAAATAGGTGGAGAGACATTTTCTTCTTCTTCGTTTGGTTTCCAGCTGGTTATACTGCAAAGGATAACAGGCCAGCTATTGGCCAAGGATTATTCGCAATGCAGGTGGTGCCCTCAGCAGGGCTTGCTGCATTTCATTGAGTGCTGTTCTGAAGAAGCAATGACCAATTTAAACTAAGCCAGTTTGGGGCAGATATGGAAACTACCAGATTCAGAATTGAACCAGGCAACTGTGAAAACCGCACCAATTACTTGAAGATCCTGTTCCCATGAAAATATTAGATTTAATTTCAATTCCTTCATTTAAACGTGAAGCCACAGGATTGCAATACTAATTTAATATTTTATAGTCAGTCTTTTCAGTGGATAAGAATGTTACAGCTATCAAGGTCCCTAGCCCTTACTTTCAAGCTTATTTAAAAACAATTCCTCTAATTTTCCACCTGTAGCCCTTTCTGGTACCTTTAAGTTTAAATTTAATTTTGTGGATTTTTAAGAGTCTCAGCCCTCCTATTCCACTTTATTTGGAGAAACGTGAGGGGCAAGTTATAAGACTGGCGCGGGTTAAAAGTGAGTTTAAATAAATACATACTTTTATTTTTTTAAATCCCTAAATTTGGTACTCTGTCAAGAAAACTACTCAGATTTCCACGGTGGAAGCAGAGGACAACAGGCATGAGATTGGTCGGTTTTGTTGCGCTAGAATGAAATTTCCTTGTGGGACAAGGGGGATACTGCAACACATTAGCAGATGCGCCCTTCTCCAAGAGAAGTTTTATTTGGTTGTGTTTTGAATTCCCCTTTATGATCAATTGCCTAGTGGTCGACTGAC